TTTTTTTGTTTTTTGTTTGCAAAGTCAGGATATTCAAGTCTAATAAGTTCAACATTTCCATTTATCTAGGCAGCCCTTTGAGTATTGCTCCAAGGGCTCCTGTTACTACGGGTACGTCCATTGATGTCTTCCTCCATAGTCACTCAACTTCAGTGTGCAAATAATTCGCATCACCATCATTACTATCTCTTTTATTCATTGAACATGAAACTCAAGTCAACTGAACATTTAAAAATGTATCGCAAATATCATTGACTGGTGCTGATGGTTGATACGGGTTCCTGCCAGCATCCTAGATATTGACCTAGGATGCTATATACATACATACATACATACTTACATACATACATACATACATACATACATACATACACACACACACACACAGAGAGAGAGAGAGAGAGAGAGAGAGAGAGAGAGAGAGATATAGATACACATTTGATCTTCTTCAAATGTATTGTTATCTCTTTTATTCATTAAACATGAAACTCAATCAGCTGAACATTTAAAAATATATCATCATCATCAGTAGTAGCAATAGTAGCAGTAGTAGTAGTAGTAGTAGTAGTAGTAGTAGTAGTAGTAGTAGTAGTGAGATATTTTATTTTAATGTTTTAGTTTTTACTCTGGTCTCAATGAAAGATGAAATGGTTGCTCTAGAACAGACAAAATTCAGAGGCTCCCATTCCTGGATGGCTTTCTGATCCACAGGCCTGCCACCACAGTCAACCTATTTCCCCTCCCCCTCCCCAGGTGCATCTGGAAGAAGGGCAACCCCTCCAGCTGCTCCCAAACCACAGCACCCATTGGCCTCACCCTCCTGGCAAGAGCCCCTATGGCAGAAGTTTCTGTATCCCCAGCAAGAAATCTCTCCAGCTTAAGGGGGGGGGGGGAAATATCTCACTTCCAAGTCTTCCAAGTCTCCGGGCCTTTTTCCACAGGGGGAGAACGAGAACGCCGGAACTTATTAAGAAGAGGAAAAAGTAAAAGGCCCACCCTGCCAAAATGGTGCCCTGGGATACGCCTGAGATGCTGAAGCGCCTAGTTTGCCAGGTGCTTTTGTCAGCCAAATCCCACTTCATTTTCTGGCTTAAGGAGAGAGAAAGAGAGAAAGCAGCTGACTCCGTTGGGTGGTTGGAAGCCCAGCCAGCCAGCCTGGGAAACCAGAGCCAAATCAAACTGTGTTCTGATCCCCATTCAATCATCTCTCTCTCTCTCTCTCTCTCTCTCTCTCTCTCTCTCTCTCTCT